TAAAGTTAACTATGACTAACTAAATAACTTGAGCTAGCGTTATATCTCCTTCGAACTGTAAAGAGAGTTCAAGACGAAATTAATTTTCGGAAATCACATATAAGGGAACCAGAGAGCAGGGCCTCCAGGTACATTATAACCTCATGCAAAACTGAACACTCTTCCTAAGCGTAGGAGAGAAGGAGATCCTGAGTGGTGAACCGTCATGTATAATAACCCCCTCCGCATCGGGCTGCGTTAAATCTTGCGACTGTGCGTTTTGGGGGAGTCAACACTTTGAGCAGTCAGCGATTCAGGAGACGTTCTGAGCAAGAAGGAAGACAGAGGCACCGAACGCAGATTCTTCCACAAAGCCGATTCTCCAAATAGCTAACGGCAGCCGCACAAGACGCTGATTCCCTTAGAACGCCGAATTGCAAAGTATGAACGCAGCTTTACAGTGATCCCTGTTTCGCACGAAGAGTGGTCCAAATGTCCCCCAAGGTCATCAGAACAGATTAAAAGCCCGAAACTATTTGGAAAATGCAAGAGTTCTCTACCCTCCGAGCTGAGCCTCATCCATCTATATATCGGCAGTGACGTTTGGCGAGACAGATACAAAACTGAAACAACCAAAGCTCATAATTTCGAATGGAACAAAAAACAAGCAAAAGGAATTTGAGGGATGCATTCACATCGCTCAAACCAAACGCCGATATACACACGGGGGTGGGGTTATAGCCCAGGAATTCGGATTTAGGAAATGGAAAAAGATGAGTAGTCACACTACCAACGAGGGTAATGTAATACTAAGACCCAATAGTAATAAAAAGTTTACCTTGTACAAATGGCAGAGATTATCGAGAATGGCTTCGGCTTCTTGTTCATCGAATGCCACCATAGTATTCATATGAGAGCTGTTAGTACGTTAACATACGTGGATTTGTGTCCGCGTTGAATGTTGAAGACGAATATTCTGGCAAAGTTATAAATTAGAAAAAAGGCCTTCGCATTAGGCCTAGCAAGAACCCGAAAAAATACTCGTAATCGGGAAAACACTCAGGTGAAACAGCGAAATAAAACTGGGTTCCTCTGTCAAATTTCCAAACTCAAGGCAACTTGCAGAGCAATATTGAGCTTAGAAAACGCAGAGCTAAGAAAACGGCTCAAATAGAGGAACATAATGTACTACAAGAATATGAAACCTGCATGATTAGGTCTAGAAAACGGGTTTCCATGCATAAACACATTAAATATGCAGAGTTGAACAGCTGAAACGCTCGGCAGACCATAAACAAGCATGAGCAAACAAAAAGTGCAAACTTTGATCGGCGGCTGCGGCGCTGCCTTGCCATTGGAGCGCGTTATTTTTCCAAACGGCGCTGATCTCTCGCTATTTAGCAATGAACCTAAGTTGCACGTATAGTTCCGAGCTTTTCAATGCGGAGCATTTTGACAGTGATCTTCTGAATGCTCATGCAAGGCCATAGAGATACTGTTCTCTATGTTTTTTTTACTCATAATGAGCTAGATAAATATACAGCCACTATCCTGACAAACGAGAGGGCATGTAATGGGGTGTGGATAGGACCGCAGCGAAGGCAGCCTTCTCCACCAATTGTTCAGGGGCTCTGAATGGCATCAATTGGTGGAAAAGGCCACTTTGGCTCCGTTCCAATCCACGCCCGTTCCGTTTGCGGGGTAGAAAAGGGGATAGAAAAAAATGGAACTACAGATAACTTCTTGCTCTTTCCCCGTTGGTGCTCGCATAGTATCACAAGGATCAAAGACCTTCAAGAAGTGCAGAAACACGACATTCAAGCAGAACATTGTCTGACAATACGGATGCTATAATGAGTCTTCCCTCATATTAATTTCGCCACGGTTGCTACAGTCTTTTCGCTGCTTGTGCTGCGGTGTGTCAGGGGGGGGGGGTCTGCGTTTGGCGCAGCGCCAGTCTGTTCTTCATCCAATTATTGGAAAGGGCAAGCAACAAGGAGCGGTCGGAATTGGGCTGCCTTAATGCGAAACCGAGCCCCCTTGACACGCCCCAGCATCCACAGCGAACAAACCGCGTATCGGTGCTTCTTTCAGAAAAATTTACAACTTGCAGGGAGCTGTATGGTTCACGCTGAATCGTGTCATCCCTACCGTCTTGAATCTGCTTTTTATAGCTCTTAAGCATCGGGTAACCGCCACAGAAGGCCTCATCACCGTCCAGCAGAAGCCGAAAGCTTAGCAGTTGAGAATGTTATAGTTGGGTTGAGGGATCTAGACAGAGTACAAGCAAAACCGGGATCGGAGAAGAACATCGTCAGACGACATCCCTTCAAATCTCTTCCTCCAGTACAACCTAATTCCCCGTCCTCCATCCTGCTTACTACCTTCCAAAATTTTCCCAACCTCCCACTATTTTCCCAATTTTCCAAAACCTTATTTTTCGCCCCAAAAAGAAGGCCTGATGCGTTTGACTCACAGAAATTTCCGTCTTCTGTGCTCATTTTAAAAGCGGATATCCAAATCCGCTAAAAACTTGTATATAGGGGTAATTCAACATCCTGATCACGAATATGACATTCATTTTTGGCGCTGGCGCTAATGGATGACACTACGGTTACCTGCGCTCTGCTAAGGCTGAGCCCAGGAGGTAATTTTAGTGTCCTCTCCTGGCGTCAGCTTCCAGAATTGAGTGTTCATACTCGTATTCAGGATGTTGAATTACCCTTATACCATTTTTAAGTGGGATTTTTGGATGACTTAAGGGCGATTTGATAATGAGCCTCGAAAAAACGGATTTTGAGTCCAATGGCCATTAGCCAAAAAGAGCGCGCAGTGGGAAAGTTCGCTCGCGCAAACTATTATTTCAACTATCGGAGACATGCCAAGGATGGGCGCACAAATTTAATCGGACGGAACTTCTATCAAGGACGATTAGATCCGCTCTTGATGGGGTTTCCCCAACGGTGCTGTAGAGAGGCAAGAGGATTCATTGAGTGAAACTTGAGACTGAATTCCAGCGAAAAACGACAAAATGTCTGCTGAGTGCGATCTCCTCGGTTTTCTCCTCTTGGAGAACCTCCTTTACAACACAATATGGCCTCTTACCAAATATTCCCAAAACCTTGCCGACAAGCGGGGCATAGTAGAGGGAAGAGTCAACTATCAGTACATAGCACTTGGAAAACGGGAATGCTGAAGACGGGGAACCGGATGGCGTTGACTTTCGGTTTGAATTTGTGCTGGCTGGAGAGATCTCGCTGCGGCCAACGTGGCTGTAAACGGCTCAATAGTCAAAAGACAATGGCATTCGCCACAAGGATGCTAAAGTTGATTCAACTCGTGAGCGCTACAGGCTGTCAAATCAACCAGCTATCTACATTTGATACCGTAGCAATCAGTCGGGGCAGTATTGTGAGTCTGAAATGAGCCCAACCGTAACGTTTTTCCACCACTGGTTGTTTTATTTCTGAACCGATCACTACTGGTTGAAAACAGAGACAGGGTGGGACGATTCCAAGCCCCTTCACACCGCCCCGACCGGTTGCATTGATATCAACTACAGTTTCTACACGTCACCAGATCTCCTCATAGATTTGAAGGAGACCGTATACGACCCGGCGGTAAAGAAAGAGGTCTAAATACTCAATTCCCCCTTCACCATGACATACACCATCTCTCACTGATGAAGCGATCATGAATGAGTAACCAAATACACTGTAATCCGAGCGAAACAAATCTATTATTATAGATCTACAAGTATCCAACAAAGAAATAAAAATTGAAAACCCACTAATTAACGTCAAAGCCGTATACACTCATGCAAAAATCAATGCTAACAGATTGGTAATGTACAAAAAACGGATCAATATTCAGCTGTAGAAGACCTGGGCAATTGTGCAATCTAATGGTAAGGTGAAATTACTATGAGCAATGACATGACAATGAACTACGTACAAGTGAAAACAAGGCTTATCTAAACTACCACTAACCCCGAAATTGGTGTGTGATAAGACAATCGCGGGATGCCGCGCTAAGCAAGGCGAGCGATGCTGCGCATGCGATAGACGAGTTGTTTTGTGCCGCTGTTTGATACTGACTATTGAAGGGACAAGAAAAAGACGATATCGTTCGATATTCAGTCTTGTTCCCGCTTGAATTTCTAAAAGTTTCGCTGCTTGGATCGGCAACTGATGCACACCGAACTTCGCCGCACATCGCAGCACGATGCGCCGCGCGCGAAGCCGCGACATTACGATTGTCCTGACCGTCCCCCGCCCAGAAATTAAATTTACAACACCTGGTACCACAAAGTAGTGTGCTAACTTGGGCCAGTATCCACCCTTGCTGATCACAATCGTGTAACCAGCTTCCGATGAACGCCCGATCATCCTATCATAGCCACTTCGGCCGGCAGGACCATGTTCATACCTTGCGTAGCGGGAGAAAAGTCACCAAAAGGGAAGTATAGATATCGATTTTGAGGACAGGAGGGTCTGTAAAAAAAAGCGGGGTTACAAACAGTCCATCACTTCCACGAGTGAAAAATCGAGAATTCAGAACGAGAGCGTGGTCGCCTGCCAGTTTCCACGATTGGCGGAGAACAAGCTGGCGCCGCGCCAAACCTAGCCCCCCCCCCCCTGGAGCGCTCAAGCATCCTCTTGATAAGAAAAATAGGGCCACCTCACTTAAGGAGAAGTTTTCTAGGAGAAATTTCCTTTTTTTCCAACGATCGACCCTGACGAATTGGGTACCTCTTTTTGCGAATTTCCCACTCTCTACGTGGTCGCAGCCTTTGAAATTGGTTAGTGTCTGGCATTTTCGCGGATTTCGCGATACTCCTGCCGCGCAAAGTATGAAAGCAGCTATAATTTCCCGAAATACTGTAACGTTAAAACAAAACCGTAATCAGACTAACACGTTTCCACGGCCCGAAAATATAAGATTTGTTTACAATAGTTTCTAAAAGCGAGATGAAACCTAAATAAATGTCCTACACCCATGAAAGTCCGAACAGAACGGCTTCCTTCCACGGCTAAAAAGAGACAGAGAAATATATGAATAGAAAAAAGGGAGTGAGAGAGAGAGAGCTACAAAAGATAATCCATGAGAAAATGACGGGTAATTGCTTCTCTGCTGTTTTTCAGTTCTTCTGCAGCTTCACGTAGTTTCGTAGCCGTTTCCGATCGAGATCCATTCACCATACCCTCAAAGATATCAGTAATAAACAACAGGGAAAAAGGTGAGCATTAATAAGTGATTAAGACTAGGTCACGTCCCTCGATCTTCTTTGATACTTGGACCACAAAGTGAGTCAAGGGGCAAAGAGAATTCGCAATATTTCGTATTCATACGCCCAGGCTTGAGCGATTCCTTCGTGCTATTTGTGAGTTGCTTCAGAGCGAGCGATGACGCCCCACCGATAACTGTGGGACCGCTATAACTGAAGCTAATCCAGCCTCAAAGGCAGTTGGCACGATAAATCCCCCAAGACGAGTAGGATTAATACGCCTGGCAGGACGGAATTCCGCGACCCTGAGCAGGCGCTGCATAATGCCTTTTCCAAGGGGGTGCCCTTATAGGCCCTTATGAAAGCCACACATAACGCTCAGACTCTACGCCACGCCCGCCCGCCCAAAATGGACGACCGTTCCTGACGCTCTAATCGATTCATTTCCTAGGCAAATTCTGATTGATATGAAGCGGCCATGACGCTGCATGGATAGAGTACACATATGCAGCCGTACCTTCGGTAGCGGTTATTTGCAAAATGCCTAAGGGAAACTCGTCCAAATTTATTTGAAACTTGGGGGCTTCTTCCTTCGGAGGATTTTGACCGTTTAATCGTTCTTTCGCCATTTCCAACTATATAGCGCACTACTAGAATGTTTAGGCTGAGAGCCATACATGTTCCATTTGCCTTTAAAGGATAAAGGATAAAGGTGTGCCGTATCAGTGTGTTGTCCGTTTGTGGGCAGTAGGTGTTGTGTGTGTGTTATTAGAAGTAGTGGCTTATGTGATGCGGGAGTGGTGAATGGTGTGGGTCGTCTGTTGACGCGGGCAGTATTCACCAGACGAATCTGTGTGGTGGCGCTGCGGAGCGTCCAGGGCTAATTTTACATTCGCCAGTCCAGCAGTGAGGGAGTGTTTGGTACTATATTAGTAGGAAGAAAAAGAAGGGATTGTGGATGTTGGGGTAGGAGGGGAGAAGCTCTCGGTTGAATGTGCCTGAGGACGGCGGGGGCCAGCCGATGCCACAAATCGGATGTTCTTTCTACCAAACGAATTCGGCTCCATTTCGCCGTCCCGGAAGGTTTTTGGTTGGCCTGGGCGGGTGCCGACCTGGGATTCGAATCCAGGACAGCGCGAGTGGTGCCACTTGTCACTACACCACCTCCGCCTAATCCAGTCTTATACAGTGCAACTGCCCAATCAATCGCCTGATTGTCATATTGATGCTTGGGAGGTCGAACTACCCTCGAGAATGTTCAGCCAAACTGCTTCGTACAAGGAAGTCCGCAAAAAGAGGCCTGTTTTTGGAAGACTGGGATGGTAAAGGTTAAATAGTGCCAGAATGGTCGCGTAAAATGTGCAATGTGGGCTGGATAGACTGAACGGCATGCAATATACAGCCGAGTCTTTGAGTCCCTTCTACCGTCTAGCGCCTAGGCTTAGCAGAATGCATATGGCCATAGCGCAAACGCCCGACTTACCGATGGTTTCACACAGCGGACATGGGACCCGCGGCCGTCTTCTCCAACCCCCCCCTACCCACCTCCTTCCTACGTTTGCACTCCAAACCTGCGAACGTTTCCATCTCTGAAGTTGCCATTACCCGTTCACAAAGGTTACGCCGCCACGGAACTCCACACTCTTTCTCCTTCGAGGCTCAGTCTTAGCAAAGCGCAGACGGCCAAATTCAGCGCAAGACACTCAATTCGCCAGAGAGCAGACGTAGTTGCTCCCTTCACCCCCCCCCCTACTGACTACATCGGTTCTGGTAGTACTACAACGTTGATCTTTATCTGGCATCGGAAATCGAAGAAAATTCGTCTACTTTGCCTGTGAGCATCACAGTACGACAACAATGAGCTAAATAATCCTCATCACAGGTCATTTTTCTTCTCAGCAACTTGGAATTGTTCAAAAAAAATTGAAAAGCAAGAATAGTAACTCGAAACCATTGCCCACCTTCACACTCAATGCTACAGTTAAAACGTCAATCGCGATTCCTACAGCTGTGATTGCATGAACAGCGCCTTTAGCCATGGCTGATGGAAGGGTAGCCTTGAAAGTGACTCTCACAAAACATAGAAACCAGCGCGGTCTCAGCAAATCTGTCAACCAGAAGCCTCCCTACTATTTTCTCTTTCCAGAGGGTAATGAGAAAAACAACCAGACAAAAAATACTCTCGAAATCTCGCAGTGGGAGAAATTCTAGTTGACAGATGGGTTGCAATTGAACTAGCGCAAATGAATAGTTACCGATTCCTTGAGTACAAGACGAACTGCTCCTCCAGCAAGCGAGACCGCTCCAACTCGACCGCTGGATATTACGGTTTCTCGGTTCACATTGCTGGTCGTACATCTATCCTTCATTTCTATACGGTTACTCTAAACAGCGGACCATTCACTCTAAATTTGTGGCGTAGTACAGCTTGGGGCGAGGGAAAGGGCATTTCGCACTTTCGCTACTTCACATCGTCATTGATTTACAAGAGTTAACAAGAGTCTCCACAAACTCTGGCTGGTATCACTTCATGTTTTCCAGATCATTACTTGTCGATGGGAAGTAGCGAAAGTGCCAAATCCTTGCCCCCACGACCCCCAACAGCCGACTGCACCAATTTGGGTAACACGAATGTGGAAACACATATGGAAGAGAAATAAAGAGGAGAAATCACAGACTGGGAGATTACTGTCGTACTATCTCACCGACAGAATCGATGCCTTGGTATCTTCAAGAGAAGCAATACTATTAGCTAGAGTTTCTGTCATCTTCCGATCATATTCTAGCATTTCCTTTGCAGCCAGAAACATTCTTCTGGAATATGAAAATTCTACCCCAAATGCCATAGAAGAAAAACGGACCAATTATCACCTTCAAATTATGCAACTTAAAAAGACCGGTGGCCATATTTGACGCAGCTGCAACGCCACCAACAGCAAGACCTGGAGATAAAACGTAAGAGCGTAGACAAGGGTATTCAAAAAACTTACAAATTTGGGTTCTACGAACTCCGATTATGTAAAATCAGTTTCAATAAGTATAAGACATCGTCAGCCATAAAGAGACTTGTCTTCAAGACGTTGATTCTAGAAAAGTATATCTCACAGCACGCCCGGTTTTTAAGGTTCGGGCGTGCGGTTGCGATGCGTAATTTCAGTGGATCGATCTATGCTGTACTGTAACGCTGCCGCTGATCGAGCCTCTCAGATTACCAGTGACTACTAATTCCATAGGCTTTAATTGATGGTTGGTGATTACAATCGTTTGAAATGATTACCCATTGCTTGAGGACAAGCTCCGCCGCTGAGGGTAAGTCTTGGCAGACGTTAGGTCCCGACCTCTAGAATGTTTGGGGACGGATTTGTGACTTTTTGCAGTGAGCGCGTCATAGCTGGTACACACCTCCCCAGTGCGAGTGTCCCTTCGCTGACCTTCGCTATTTTTCCCTTTACTCTTCTGTAGGCGTTTTGGGAATTTCTGTCCCTGGCACCGTGCAAGCCCCGCCCATTCTGGGCGGGCCTGGCCTATTCTGCGTGCGCGCCGTGCGTTCTATCCTATAAAACCTTTAAACCCTTCAGCTGATTTGTAAACGTAAATCTCATTTTTCTGGGTGGACTCCAGCTAAACCAGATAAACTTCCGGTTCATTAAGAGATAGGAGTGAGAGAGAGAGAGAGAGAGAGAGAGAGAGAGAGAAATATAAGACTCAATTTGAGCCCTCTTCCTGAAGATCTGTATCGTAGTCCTTACCTTCGTTCGGGTAGATTAACTGAAAAAGTAAAGCAGTTTATAAGAAATGTAATAACTCGACCTGCGACTGCAACGGGTGGCATAAGCATAACACCGCCTATGACAGCAGCGGCTCCACCACCCAATTCCCAAAACAACCACCAACTACCGACGAAATATTTACAACCCATGTTCCATTGTCGAGCGTAAAACTTTACTAACTCTGTTTTTTACTGACTTTCGTAGATAAAGCGCGCAGTTCGCGACGTAGGGGGAGTCGTATTTTTGCACCGTTCGTTGCTTCACTAGGTTCCGGGTTTACAGACTTCACTCTGCTGAATCTGCGACTCTGTTTGAAGCTGGAAACAAGGTCGTGAATCATCGCTGTGCAAATTCTGTCAACTCGAGAAGAGGTATTGTATTGAATAGGTCGACGAAAAAAAAAGGCGAAAAATGCGAATGCCCCTTCGCCGAATGACGGGCGCCAAAGCCTGAAATAAGTGTGTGGAAACGGTGGAGCTCCTCAGTGAACGTTTTTTTTCGGGTTTCAGAACATGCACACAGCAGCGGTTTCAACTCAAAAGGCTGGTTTCTTTGCGCTTTTGTCGCCAAAGCTCAATCCGACTTAATAATACCAGATTAGTTAGAGAACAAAGTATGGCATTGTTCGACTTGGGGAAAGCATTTTGCTACTTCTTGTTAGTTCATGTTAACTAAGGGGTCTCACGATGGGCATCGAACTCTAAAGTTGAACCTGCGAAAGTGTACAAGTAGCTATTTTCGTGTCACACGAGAAATTACAGTCTACACAAGGGCGCCTGTGCAAGGCTTAGCTGAGTACGCTGTGCCCAAGCGAAGCGCTGTGCCCCACAAGCGAATTCGCTGTGCCCACCAAGCCAAAACAGTATGCACCCGACACCAGGCCCCCCCGCTGGCTATAAAGGCTGGAGAGACTCGATATAGTATCGCCACGTCTACCTCTCCTTAATCTTCAGCGTTATTCCACCCCTCTGATAGGATTAGCTTGCTATTGTTTTGATGGTCAAACCCTTTGTTACTGAGGTACAACGCAACACTAAGCAAATCTTGTACACTTCAATGCCTAGAAGGAACTGGATAGTGGTCTTTTTTCTGTTAAATTCTGTTTACCTCGTCCGCAATCCTGTGCAGCTCCGCTTCGGCAACTTCTCGATTATCCATCCAGCAGTTCAATAAAATCATTGTCTTATCATGCGCACCTTTGTATAGAAGGAAGTCATCTTCTGGAACCTGTAACAAACTCCACTTGAGAAAGCAAACCGAAGTAATAAATCGAATTAATTACTTGGGGACTCAGGATAAATTTAGGTGGTTTTGGTGAACCATAGGTAAATTGAGAGACACCGAGACACGTCCATGGCCCCCATCTCGATGCTCTTCATACCATTTCATTGTCCCGTCGTGCCGTCGATGGTAAAATTTTGAAAAAATACGGTGTGAAGGGGTCGGGGATGTGGTGTAGGTCATACAGATGTGGAAATTTGAGGAAGGGTCGCATTTATCCAAAACTTTACACAACACGACACTGTGCCCTTTTTCAGTACTCACTGGTACTTTGCCCGGTTGTTAGGGCTGATAGTGAGGTCAATTTGGTTCTCATGCACAATACCTCATCTGAATAAATAAAACAATCAAAAAAGAAAGAAACGTAAGAAAGCGGAAGGTTGCAAACCAGCTGCAGAAGAAGCAGCATACATTACAGCAGAAACGTACCAAAATCATCCCGTTTCTGTCGTCATATCGTGGAACACCATCGGAAGCTATGGGTAACAGCTGCAGACGCGTTTTCTCCTCCATACTGAAAGAGGATAACTGAAAATGGGGGAAAGTCAGCTTAAACAAACTTGTAATTCGAGAAAATCTAGACATCGCAGTCGTCAACTTCCCTTTGATTTGGGGCAGTTTTTCCAATGAAAACGCGAAATATGTAGAGGAAATAAAGACTAGCGAACGAACGTGTGCGGCTCGATTTTGTCGGCTACGAAATGAGAGACGCAGACGACGAAACAGCGGAACGAATGTTTTCTTTTCAATAGCATGCGCCAATAATTCCGCTACGAAACCTGTTCAAACAACCACACCTGCGATGGTAGCGGCAGATGATCTGATGGATAAAGCTGCCAAGATATGGGGCATTACATCCACGTAGCGTGACGTGCACAAACTAGCAGTATTTCCTAGCTATAGTTGATAACGTCGCAGTCAGTCGGGGCGGCGTCAGAAGGTTCGGAATGAGCCCGCCTGCGGCTGCCCTGCCAACAGCAATCGGTCAGTGATCCCTTTGAAAAAACAACCAGTGGTGGAAACGCTGCGAGTGGGTTCGTTCCATCCCTCATGAAACGCCCCGACTGATTGCGATGATATCAACTGCAATATGATTCTGCGTACTGTAGCGCTCCCACTTTATCAAACAGGTTCTGGACGCGAGCGAGTAAAGTGCACGTCCAAGGAGTAGATGGGAACTGTTGGCCTCCTATTCTCCGATTTTTCTTAATCCAATCTTTCCATTCTCCCGATTCGCTAGTGGTCAGAAGTCGACCAGTTCCCACATACTCCTCTGACTCTCCCTCTACCGCGCCTCTTCCGAGCCTCCCTACCAGGGCACGCCCTGCCAATGGGAATTTTTTTGCAAAATACGGCCCCTCAAGGTTCCCTCCTCTTGTGCCACCCCCTCCGTTCAAAATCAATCCAATCCAACCGGAGTCCTTTCCAAAAATTCCTTCACGTTTTTCTAGAAAAACTGCCGTTGAGCGAGGAGGAAGGTGGTGTACATAGCGCACTTGAGAGGGGAAAAACTGACAAAGTTCGAAAACCGAAAGCAAAAAAGGCAAACGTTTTTGCCTCCGAGAAAAATATTTTTTTCGGAGGCAAGAACGTCTCCCTCGCTGTGAGTTCCAAACATACGACGTGTCCTGGCCTCAACACAAGATTATAAGTTCAGGTTTTCAGGCTGCGTACAGTACCCCGAAAATCGCGCGTGAAGTTGAAAATGTCGCGTATTGAACGCACACAATCGGGCATACCGTAACCCGGTTTGCGCCCAGGGAGGAGGAAGTTCGGAGTGGGGATGCTACCCGGGTAGCGCCCCTACCCCGGCAGGTGGCAGGGGCAGGGGGTGGGGCCATATTTTTTAGTTCTACAAGGAGATCATCATCGATGTGAAGAGAGGGGTCGAGGGCCATCTCGCCCAAGCTCTTCAGCGCCTCTCTCGAGAACGTCATGCGTCAACTGGAATGGGAAGACATGGGAGTGAAGATCGACGGTCGGCAACTACACCATCTCCGCTTTGCTGACGACATCGTTTTGATAACACCAAACATCGAGCAAGCGGAACGAATGCTGGCTGAATTCGACTGCGCGTGTGGAAGAATCGGTCTACGGCTGAATCTAACGATGTTCATGAGAAACGGATTGGTATCTGATGCCCCATTCACGCTCAACGGAACGACCATCTCTGAATGCTCTAGCTATGTGTACCTAGGTCGTGAAATCAATATGATGAATGACTTAGCTCCAGAGCTGAGCAGGAGGAAGCGAGCGGCTTGGGGAGCCTTCAAGAACATCGAGGGAGTAGCGAAGAAGACGAAGAACACCAAGCTCCGTGCCCACCTCTTCGATTCCGCGGTCCTTCCTGCCTTGACGTATGCCTCAGAGACTTGGACTCTACGAAAGCAGGATGAGCATGCGGTTGGCGTTATTCAACGCGCCATCGAAAGGGCGATGCTCGGAGTTTCCCGCTACACGCAAGTGAGAGAGGGAATCCGGAGCTCCGCACTCCGCCGACGATCGAAGATCAGAGACGCCGCCGCATTTGCCAAGGTTTCGAAGATCAGGTGGGCCGGGCACGTCATGCGTTTCGAGGACGACCGCTGGACCAGAGCGATCACCGACTGGATTCCACGGGATGTCAAGCGAACGCCTGGACGACCGCCTACGCGATGGTCAGACTTCTTCGTGAAAGCTCTGAACGAATGGTATGAAGTTCATCGTGTCCCTCGAGCAGAGAGAGTTCATTGGGCAACTCTTGCACGTTGCAGGGACGAATGGAGACGTTACTGGCGCCCGCTCGAGGAACTCGATGATCAACGGGAGCGCAGGTGATACAGGTGACTGTATGCACCCTGACAACCTTGACTTATAATTCAATGGTCTTAACTCCCTAGACCAACACTTACGCATTTCTTTGGCGCACATCCTCGAGTTCTATGATTTTCCACTATCACTGAGATATAATACTTCGCATTAAACCCCCTCTGTAAGACACATACAGCTGCACTATTCACTGCAGATAAGTAATCAGGACGAGCGCAGTCCGCCTTAGGGATAAGGGAGGTACAGACTTTTTTAGATCACACATCCATATCACATACATTTCAAATCCACAATCATGCTTGCTGCGGATGCTAGGGTGTGTCGGGAGAACGAACTGAGAGCTACGCTAGCCCGTTCTCCAGCGTTGAAGCGGGAAAGCGGCAGTATATAACGGAAAACGGGTTGGCGCAGCGTCAAACTCTGTATTATTACATGCCCCCCCCCAGCACCCGTCGAAAAACTAGAGGCTTAGTCTACAATCACCTGAAATTAGACGTCGTTCCTCACATGGGATTCCTCTATCTATTGTAGGGGTACCACTTGCATGACATGAAGGGGCATAGCAATGACGCCCGAGAGTAATGAAGTGAATGGTTCCCAGCCCTTCTCTTGTCCCAGGATACCTGTCAAACCACGAGGCTTCTCTCCTTTTTCCTACCTCCTTTCTTCTTTTCCTCCCTTCCTTCTCTCTTCCCTTTCCTTCTCCCTTCCACTGCTGGGCCAGTAGACGCGATGAGAAAATACCTCTAGACCCTCGCAGCGAGAGCATGTTCGTTGACAACAGCCTCGTAAAAGTTCCGGACGAGCTCTCGGTCAAAAAACTGCAAAGCTCAGGGCAAGGTCAGCACCTATATCGATCTGCCAGCATGTAGCCGGCAGAGTAGAAAACTCGTCACAGCGCCGGAAAACTCGTACCACACCGAGGTGCGACGGAATTTTACTTGGAGCATTTCTGACATTTTTTCTGCTGCCTTTAATAACCACTTAGCCCCTCGTGCCGTCAACAAAGCCCTTCTCCTTACTCGAACTGCTCCCTAAACCTTTCCGGACGAGCTCTTATTTATATCAACTCTATAATCAGCTCTGCGGAAATAGAAATAACAGCCCGTTTGTGGCATTCGTTTCATGGAAACAACCACCTAACCATAGATTTTATTCTCCAAACCCAAAGAAAGAAAATCTATCACATTTGAAAACGAATATGTCGTGAATAAACAATAAATCATCACAAATGAAATCTACTGCAAGGAATGAGAACTAGCCCACCCACTGTGCGCTTTAATCATAAAATAAATACTTTGTATCATCCTTGAAAACAAGTCACATCTGGCGACTGTAGCTGTATCACACGAATCGTCTGCTCCACCAATTACAATTACATGATTACCATGGTGCGACATGCTGTTAATCAAGTTAATAGTGTAATTTGTATTGAAAAATTTATGCTAAACTATAATTTTTTTTCTCTGAGTGAAGGATCATGAAGACGACTGGGTGTACATCGATACTTAAGGATCCTGAAAACAGAAAATATGTTTCAATACCAATGTAGAATTCCACCCAAGCTAAGCAAAAGATAAACGGAGCAAGCGTAGTTGGAGGGAGAGGGATAGGCGACAGGAGGCAAGACCGAGGCCGCATCATACTATGCGACTGAAGAAAGTCGGCGATTTGGCGCCAGAATGCCAAATCGCCGCAATCGCGGGCAACCGACGCCAATCGATATCTATTCACTTCAGTGACCAGCAATCGCCCAAAAGTCTAAATCGCTGATTCTCCTCACTCGTCGGATCGATACATATACTTCCATCATCGCGCAAGCTCTCGAATCGCCGAATCTCCCAAGTCGCATAGTATGAACGCGGCCTAAGCCGCGTCTGTGCCATCTAGGTTACGATCCTCCTGGAGAGGGAGGAAATCCCTATCACTGTAGAAGAGCGCAGATGAGCAATCTTAATCGCGCCAAAGCGTGTTCCTCCCAACTACGCCCCATATTCCGGAGGTGGAAAAGGCGTGGCTGCGTGCTTCACATAAACGTGCCGGTGACTGTGCTTCCGGCGGGATCTTTAGTTTTGGGCAACTGTAATAACGTTTCGTGCGACACAAGACAAGATGGCAGTTGCCTCAAATTGAAATATGTGTCCTTGACAGCTAGGCTTAGATGAAGTATGCCGCCACGCCTCTCCAGAAATGCCTGTCGCCTCTTCAGCAATGGAGGCTGCACCCGCAGTACATGAACCCTTGAGAATGTAAAAAAAAACAGCAAGCTAGAACCAAAAGTAACTTAAATACACAACCATAACCACAGCACAAAGCAAAGACATCTAAAAAAGACATCACAAGCCTTACTGAAAGTGATAATGGTGTCTATGATTTCGCAGGAGCACGCTAAAACAAACACCACATATTCCTGGCAACATAGCAAGAAGTCTTATCAAAAGAAACAAAGCACCAACTTACCGACATATAAGAGGAGAAAGACGTGGAGATTGATGAAAATTTCTCAGCAACCTTTGAAGCACCAGCGCGTAATGAATCTTTTATATCTGACATTTCAGGCACCTGCAAAATACAAATAACAAAGCGTTCACAATTTGGAATGATATAAACCTTAGGGATGAAATTTGTTTTCCCCATGAAAATAAGAAAGTTGTGTAGTGATAAGAACTCGTGAACACAAAAAGCATCTCAACTACGTCGCATTCATGCTTTGCGAATATGGAGATTTCGCGATCCCGGAGAATCTGCACTTTCTCCTATCCGCAAGGTAATCAAGCCGCTCAGAAAATGATAGAAAAAATGTGAAGCTTTCGACGTCGATTCGCTTCTTAGAATGAGCCACCTTTCCACTTCCATACTTACTCGTAGTGGGATTTGTACTAGACAAACTTGTGGAAGCCAGCCGAGGTACAACAGAGTTTCCCTATCTCTAAGAAGAGTCTAGCAGCAAAAAAGGATACAGCGCTTGATTACGAACGACGCGCTAAACGGCCCGCCTTTGAAGGAAAACCTAACAAACTGCCAGTAACCGAAAAAAGTCTCCTTGCACCTGCGACGTAGTAACCGAGTTTGTCGGCGCTGGGAGAGTTTCTCAAACTGCTGTCTACAATTTGTCGGATGTAGCAACACAAAAGCAAAAGGACTGGGTCATGGCAGCATAAGAGGGAATTCATAATTCGGTGAGCCGTTGCTACCATAACCTGGGCCTTTCTGGGACCCCTCCCCTCCTCCCTTCTCAGGCTTAGGGTGAACATAGCGCTCTAGGCACGGAAGAGCGTCGTGCACGCCAAGCGGATGAGTGAATATGATAAGACATACATCACGAGGACAGTGCCGGAGGCGGTATGACATGGCAATGAAAATACCAAAACTTGGATGCCTAACCCGAGCGCGCTGAATACGGTAGCTACGACTCATCGGACAGCAAAATCTTTTTTTTGTCATGGCAGCAAACAACCAACGGAGCCTTTGTTCTCAAATCTGCTACCACGTGCGAATGCGCACGCTGAAGGGCTGCGGTCCTCCTATGCCTAGCCCTACCCATAAGGAAAGCTATGTTCCTTATTACGTTTCACAGAGTAATAGAGCTAGGCGTAAGGTCACGGTAGCCACTCAGCGTTTGCAGTAACAGCGGTGGAAGCAACGGTGCCGTGAAACGCATGCTCGTCACGACCTAGTCCATCGGGTGGGCTGAGCCCACTAGCTGATATCGGTGCGATGCTGCGCCTCGGATGTGATGAACTACACCTCAATTCTCGACCTTGGAAAGACATTGGAATTGGCTGATCCCCGAAACAGTCAATCCAGGGGTTGATCCCCTGAGGAAATACGTGCTGAGTGGCGCCACCAGCGACTCCACCATCATTCCCCTTTTCACAGATGATAATCAACAGACTCAAGTAACCAACCTGGGAATATTGAGGTTGACTTCCTTGTCCCCATAAATCCGCGGAGCCTAAGGACGACTGTCCCTCGAAACGCGAAAGCGCTGCTTTCGTTTCGAACTGAAAATAGAAATGTAATGAAAACAAGAATGCCAAACGAAATCTGTGCCAAAGCCTTACGTCCATCTCATTATTGCCGAAATACATTTCACTGGATATAGCCTTAGCACCGGCGAACTTTTTCTGAATGTCTACATCCGATTTTGGAGCAGGAGCAGACATTACCGGGTTTTTGGCTCCCGAACTTGAAGACTTGGTGCTTCTGAATACCGACAGATCAGGCGGAGAAAACAAGCGTTTTAAATTAAACACTATGTGGTCCGCTTCGCCCCTTCATCAAAAGTACTTTCGTTACTGCGTCAACCCTAGATCATTAGTGTGAAGGCCGTTGAAAGAAGAGCTGACGGAAAAAAAACTGTCAGCACGCTACGCGCCATTTCATGATCAGACGGCTTCCTTACATGATATGGTAGTCGTGTTTGCAAGCATGGAGGATGAAGCTCTCTTGCAGCTCACTACAGCCCCCCCCCCGGCCACGGCACCACTCCCCCCCCTTACTGACCTTCATTTCTAAGTGCACTTACGGCGTAGTTGTTCCGCTAGTAACTCTTCCCATTTCAAATTGTGAGAGCGAGGTGATTAGGAGAAAGCGCTGACACCAAATGAAACTCGTCCGACCACGCCCTCTCTTCGCCTTGTGCACACACAAGCGCTCTTCGGCAATGGGTTATATAAAGGGCATTTCAGGTGGCTTTTTCCGCTATTCTCCTCTCCGCTGTGTTGATTACTACAAAGCTATTAGTACTCGAGCCGCATAGCTCATTATTTCTGAACGCGTAACATGCCTTCAACAAAAGTTGCCCACCTTTTCTTGTCTGTCTCTTGTTGCTGATCATCCCAACTGTCAAAGAAATCCGTTCGTGACTTCGATGAAAAGTCGGAGGTAAACAGGTCGTCATCATTTTTGTTTCTGGAAATTGATAAAGCTCAACTTGAGAGTTTTCAAGAATACAAAGAGATAAAGCGCTTATAATAGAAACCCAAGGCAAAAGTTATAAAACTCACAATGATTTCTCCTCAACGACCTCCCAATCATCTTCGCTCTTTTGAGAAAGCGAAATTGACGGCTCGGCTCGTTTACTCAGATCGACCTTAATTCATTCTTTAAAGTCAAGGACAGCTACATAAGAAACACGCGAACGAAGTTATAGGGGAATTTGGCTTGGTGGGGGCGCTGAATGGTGCTCTGATAAGCTTTTTACAGGCCGCCTTATGAAGACCTGTGGATTCCTGTTACCAGAATGGCTCATTCGTACCATTTTCCAGCCTCCCAGAAGTTTACAGCTCTCCATGAAGTAGGGCCAGCTAAATACATGAACTACCAAAATTAACTAACGAAAGTGCAAAATACCCCTTCCAAGCCGAACAGCACCAAGTTGTATATGAAAATTGATACCTGACGGATCGGTTTTACACCTTGAGCCACCGAATGCGCAGCACGAGGTCTTCCAAATCCGCCCATTCCCAATCGATCCACAGCAGCTGCTTTTTGTGGGTCCTGGAAATTGTTTTTGGGTAATCCATCAATTCTTCATGGAAGACATCGGAGGGTTCAAAGATCACAAACAGAGCTTCGAAGGTTCATAAAGTCGCTCGTGGTATGGGAACACGAAAGGCAGGTAAAGGAGGGCAAAAAGAAAGGGTAACAAACAACTGATGTCAATAGATTTACCTCGCTCACTTTCTTCTGAATATCTTGCATAGCTAGACGAGCACTCAACTTTGCGACAGGCTCAACCTGTGCCTCTAACTTTTCCAGTTGAGTAGCTGTGACGCCAACCTTAAAAAATAAGAATTTGAGACTAGAACAAGCACTTAGTGAGATTTAACCCGATATATATTTGAGTAATTGACCAGAATCTGTTTCCTCTTAATATGTACTCTACTTCGTAGTTGCTCGAAAGGCTGACAGACCCCCAAACCTGACGCAAAGTATAAACACACCAATCTTCCACGGCTCAAGCTAACGATTCATCTATTATGATGGATAAAAGCTTCGCCGTTGATCAATCCCTTTGTGGGATGCGGCACGCATTCTACTTCCATTCAGAATCGTAGTGGCTTATTGCGATGTGGCCTATACAATGACTTGCGGTGGCCAGCCGATGTACAAGTCAGTGTTTTATCCTCCCAGACGAATCTGGTACCAATTTACCGCCCCAGAGAGTAGAAGGCTTGATTGGGGCTAATGCCGTTTGGACTCCAGAAATTTCGGCACCGAGCTCATTTTTAAATTGCCTAAGTCACCAAATCCGCTTGTATATAGGGGTAGTTTAACATCCTGATTACGAATATGACATTCACTCTTGCGCTGGCGCTAATGGATGACACTACGATTATCTGCGCTCTGCTAAGGCTGAGCCCAGGAGGTAATCGTAGTGTCATCCATTAGCGCCAGCGCCAAGAATGAGTGTCATATTCGAAACCAGGATGTTGAATTACCCCTGTATACAAGTTTTCAGCGGATTTGTTGGTCTAGGCACTTCAAAAATGAGCTCGGTGCCGAAATTTCTGGAGTCTAAACGGCATTAGCCCTTGATTGGCGAGGGCAGGAGTCGATCCGCGATTTGAACCCGGGACCGTGCGAGGGGCAAGTGTGCCACCTGTCACTACATTACCTCCGAACTTATCTAATATAGGAAGGTTTCAATGAGGATATTTAGAACGTACTCCAAAATCTGTATGATTTTTCTCATGTTCAGCGGCTCGTTGTTCTAGTTCATCGAAATCGATCCGGACTTTCTGGGCGCCCAATCCGGACTTCTTAGCACCCTGAAAAGGTGAACAAGTGAGGAAAATTTCATTGATCACGGAAGGCACATTGATAGACCACTGAAGAGCCCTGCACTTATCATAACTCAGTGACGTCTTGAGTAGCAGACTCTCGTACTCGTAATAAAGAGTCAGACAATAAAATAGCGCGCCAATAGGAGCTCTGCTATTAGCTCCGAGATAATTCACAGAAAGGTAACTCCAATAAGATTTTGAAATCAGGGGTAAGCCTTGCATCAGACCAAATTTATTCCGCAACAAGACCTCCCTTATCTTCCTCGACCCACTACGACCCCAATATCTGTCAAGCAAGGAAAGGAACAAGGGGTACCTAGCGCGCCCATAACAAAAAAAAACAGTAGTAAACCTCCACCAGGTCAAATAGGACCCTTTCTTCGAGAACCTTTTGACGAACACCTGATTCCACTCAAAGCGCAGTAACCAACTGATTAAAAAGAATTTCCGTATGGCAAAAGCTACTTACCCCAGCCTTCTTTACTGGTTTCTTCAGAATTATAGAAACAGGAGCGGATGTTGGAACTGGCTCCGAATCGATATGGTCGACTTTTGGCCCTTAATCACCAATATATGTTTTGTTTATTTTACTACAATTACGAATTATTTTAATTTTTTGGCAATCGGAACAAAAGAGAACTGGCCTCACCAGAACCAAACATGATTTCTGTGATATCAACTGAGGCCTAGGGTGACGTAGATGCAAACCAACGGCATAAAAAATCGTCCAGCAGTCATAAAGGCGTTCGTGGGAATGGGGTGGCTTCTGTCAAATGTACTGCATATTCAGCCAGCAGAAACCGTGAGAAAAGGAGACCATTGCGATCGCGGTCCCCTTCACTGTAGCTTCATTTAGAGGCACCGCGATTGCGATTTGTTGCTTGTGCCAGACGCTATTTTATAGGTGCTCATTGCCTTAACTGCAAAGTTAAGAGCAGAGTGAAGCGCTCTGGCACCTAAAACCTGGTCGATTTACAGCATTGAGGGCATGCCCCGGGTTCATTTGATGTTCAGGGGCCTCTCTGGACATGATAGTCTTGCCTGCAAGCACGAACGATGTATCACTCGAAGCTCAAAAATACGTGAGGAAAGCGCCGCCCGCTCCCGACCCAGCCACGTCTCAGCTTTCATACCACAGAATTGCTGGTAGCGAGGTCCTTCCCGCTACCAACTCTCTCCATTATAAGTGATGAGAATGAGTTGATAATGGGAAAGAGCGGGCACCAACAAGTGAGAACTCGTCTAATCACGCCCTTTCTTTGCCTTGTGTGTAGGCACGGTTCCGCATGGGGCTCATAAGAAACTTCGGACACGTTTTCAGTCCTTTCTCCTAGACTCTTGCGCCACTTACCATGCTGTTGTTAGCACTAGAGCAGCACAAGCCACCATTTTTTAGCGCATGGAGTGCCTTCAGAGGCTCATTTCAATTAGATCCCCGAGATTCACCATGAATGATCCCTTATAATGAAGCTCCATTTAGACAAGCAAGCAGAAGCACTCAAAAAGATATTTCAAATACCGTGTTCACTGGAAAGATCGCCATTTGAACCAATCCTATCGTCCTTAGCTATATAAGCTTCACTGCTCAGCGATGTCGCACTTTGAGAAGCATGAACAAAGTTCTGGGCAAAGAAGTCCTCCTGAAAGCACTTTTATAAGTGAGAATTCCGGAACTTCCCTTGCAATATAGAACTATCAAAACACGTGTTACTTCTTTATGCTCTTCAACAACGGCTGCTGTGTCAATGTGCACTATGTTGCCATATTTGTTTTGTACCTCTCTACAGAGCTGAGCGAGCTTATCCTGAATAAATTGTCATATGACAAAATGAGAACAAGCTAAACACAACGTTCATAACAAATGGAAATAGAGTCCGAGCGGTCCTGCTCGTAGCCGATGAATCGGAGAATCGAAGAGCCCACAAAAAGAACAAATTTAGTTGGGTTATTCTTAAATAGGACGATGCAGCATCCATTCTAATGCTGCCCCTTTCCAAATACTCCAGTCTTCCCAAACAGGAAGCATCACCTCGTTATGAGAAATGACAATGTCATCTTCACCCACAAGAGTGCCTGAATACAACCCTTCTCCCGCCACCTCCGCAACATGGAAACGACCACAAGCGCTCAGTTCCCTGTGACTGCCGAGCAGAAGGGTGCATAGTTAAGAAGAAAAAAAAGTGAAAGGTTCCCTTGCACCTGCATCCCTAATCTGGCTGTCAGATACGATCCTCCCTTCATTGTGTATTCCATAACGACCGAGACCACTCCCAAAAAGGCCTAGCGGCATAGCCAAACGATCAATTTCTATTCAGCGCTTCCGGATTCTCCAGTTATCGAATGCTTCAACTTTGTGTTGGAATGCACACTCCAAGAAATTCCAAATTTCCCCATAAAACAGTTTTATTATGATGACTGCTGCTTAACGCTTCAGCTCACGGTCCGAAGCTATCATAGAAAAAAGCTGGGTTATGGGCAATGATATGAGGTGGGAACGGAACCTGACCTCACGCCTTTCATAAGTATGTGCCATCCGTTGCACCAGGGGCGCTTTTACCCTTAAGCTTAACGGCTTTTATGCCGTAGCCTTGCAGCACTCACACGTTTAACATGGTGAGCCGGCAGCCGTAATCGTTATAATATCGGCAATAAACCGTGAGGCTGAAGGCTTTACAACTTTTGAAAGCTAAGCGAATTTGAAAGAGAGGAAAGCATTAGATGCAGGTTCGAGTCTCGGCTGGGGTCTGACTTTTGTCCATGACTCAGCATTTTTGTGATATTCTCGCAGTCCAACGGCGCTGAGCATAGACAGAGTCAAAGAAAGGGAACAAACCCTGTACAGTTGAGCAGCTCTACTCTTATACTTGATTTGAGCGTCATTGCTATTGCATCCATGATTCTTGAAGAACTGCATCTGAAGTGAAAAAATGAGGATGCTGAGCACGATTCTCCAGGACAAAATATTGGTAATAACCTGGTCCATCAATAAGAAGTAAGTCCGAACGAACTAGTCAAACATTTCCGGAACTTTAGTTCCCACCCCGCAGAGTAAAGCTACCCGAAGAATATTAGGTTGTCCGGAAAGTTCTCAGCGTTTTGGTTTCACTTTAAACGATCGTAACTTTTTTAATACTCATCGGATTTAATCGAAATAGGCACCATTCGAATCAGCACACTTTTGCCAATGTGACAGCAGTCGAGAAATCCCATCAAAAAAAACTGGGTGGTCGAGAATCCACGAAATCTACGAAGGTCTTTTTTGCCTGGTCCTAATTGATGAAGTATTTTCCAGCAAGGAAGTTCTGAAAATGTTTGAAAAGGTGATAGTCGGTTGGCGAAAGGTCTGGAGAATATGGCGGTTGAGGTAGAACTTCAACCCCCAATTCGTTCAATTTATGGATAGTGATTTGTGAAACGTGTGGGCGGGCGTTGTCATGCAAAGGAATCGGACCCTTCTTTGATAAGTGTTGGCTGCATCTGACAAAATTTTCGGTACAATTCGTCGATTTCTTCAGTAGGGTTCTGCTGTGATGGTTTGGCCTGGTGATAAAAAGTTATAGTGGATCACACCAGCCGATGACCACCAAGCCGTGACCAGAATCTTTTTTTCGTGAGGGTTCGGCTTTGAAAATTACCTCGGTGGTTCGTCGAAATCCAACCACTGTCCGGAACGTCTCCTGTTATCATACATGACCCATTTTTCATCACAGGTGACAATTCGGCCAAAAACAGGTCGTTTCTGCTGCGCAAAAGCAATGCAGAAGGAACCTCGAGACGTGCCGATTCCTGCCGGTCACTCCGATTGTGGGGCACCCAATTGTCGAGTTTTTTCACCTTCCCAATGCGTTCCAGACCATCTGCAACAGTGGATTTGCCAAGGCCTAGCTCTTCTGCTATCTCTCAAACTGTTTGGGATGGGTCAGCCTCCAAAATCCCCCTAAATCGTCAGATATTGCTTTAGGTCGACCGCTATGAGGTTCATCTTCAAGGCTGAAATCTCCAGAACGAAATTTGTTGAGCCATTGCCGCACAGTGCTTTCTCTAGCACTATTGGGCCCCCACACCTGGTTAATTTGTTGAGCTGTTTCGATTGCGGATTGCCCCAATTTATAGTCGAAGAAAAAAATCGTCCGAAGTGCTCTTTTCACATGCTTGAAAAAATCTTGAAAAAAGGGGTTTATCAAGCAATGGTGAAACGGCAATTATACCATCAGATAGCGCAAAATTCTCTACAGGATGTGCTACTGAGAAGCAAGGCAGAATGAGTTTTTAATCAGCAGTGAATGTACAAAAAATAGGTGCACAAAACGCTGAGAACTTTCCGGACAACCTAATACATTAATGGCCTAAGTGATGAAAATGAATACGGCACAATGCAAGTGTTACTTCATAGGCCCTTGAACTCTCGATAGTCGTAAGTTAAAAACTCAACGTAAAGTGTACTGCACGCAAGGTAAATGCTGACAATGCTGACCGCTCCCCTACCTTAGCTAAATAAAAATTTGCAACATACTGAATATTTCTTTCTAGAAATTTTGAAAAAATACATGTAGTACTTACAGCATTAGCGTTTCCACCTACTTGCATGGCGCGCAATTGAAGCCATGTCCAGTTGACATCAAGGTTTGTCGAACGAACAAATGTAAGGTGTACGCCAAGATTACGATGAGTAGCTGAGCAGTCAATACAAAGAAAAACTCCTGAAAAAATGTGATTACAGCTGGAAAAGTGATGTAGAAAATGAAATGAGGCTATGGAAATTACAAAAGAAAAATGTTGAAAATTGAATAAAAACAATCTGAGTTAGGAATAACAGCATGAGAACCTTGAAAGGTTCTGTAGGGTAATAAATAAAGGGATTCACGCTATACCAATAATGAGGGGCAGAGCATCCAAGGCATTTGAATCAAATAATAGAGACAACCATAATGACGGGGAGAGCATCCAAGGCATTTGAAGAGCACCAAAAGAGTAGGCACCAAAAGGATGAGAATTTTGCTCAAGTTTGAGAGGGGAGAGAAAATCTTCGGAAGGACGGGAGCCATTTTCCTTCTAGCGGGAAAGACTTGTGCAAAAGGTAAGATGTTCAATTTGATGGAATAGCACTAAATTATGGTTTGAAACGCGCAATCTTAAAGCAGAAGCCCTAAACCAATTGCTTTTGACTGATACATCTATCAAGTAATGACTTTTTCAGACAAGTAATAAGAGGGTTAATCGAAGCAAAACACACCGTATGTCACAGTTGCCCAAGTTGGATTTCGTGCGTTGCAGTCGAAGCAGAGCTGTAATGAAAAGCAATAATTAACCCTGAGCAATGACAACCAAACTGTGTTGAAGCACAATAAACCATTTGTACAAATCTCGGGAGGCTAAGGAATCATACTCAATTATTGAGATCAAGGTTCATGGGGCGCAATCGCAAAACCCGGGCGGCTAGCCAGCATTGGCGAATTCTTCCCCTCCCCTACTGATAACACAGAGGGGGGGGGAATGAAACTTGTTCGGTTCCCATCTACGAGCACGCCCGAAAAGGAGGCTGGACTATTTTTTAATTATCCTGCCAATTTAAGATTCTAATCTACTATCAGGAATAAAGTACCAAATTATATTACACCAAAACTCTGACCTCCATTACAATTAACCTCTACAAACTAATACATTAACAGATTGGCTTTCAAAACAATCCGTCTATTTTGCAACTTTAAACGCGATCTCATTCTTCAGACCCTTTGTCGGCCGCTTGGCCGAGTACAGTAAACCTGAAAAGAAGCGCAAAATACTATACCAAATCGCCTGGGAAAGGAACCGTACCCGTATGGTACCAAAACGGCTGCGAAGTACCCATGCGTATCAGTTTGAAAATACCCAATAATATTCAGTACAAACCTTGTTAGCAGGAATGGCTCGCAGCTTCCGCATAGCGTTTTGAAGCTCTGCTTTCGAAGGACCGCTTTCGTCACCCATTTCTGCTTACTGCAGTACGAAACGAACCCCTGAAATGTTTCACGTAGTGAAACTTGAAGCTCAACCATAA